AAAAGCCAAGTCCTACTTTATATGACTGTACTGGATTCTTGGTTTTTTTTTTTTTTTTTTGTCCTCTTTTCTTAAGAAAATGGTCTCTTCTGGGCATCCCACCCTTGATTTTTCTCTATTTCAGATTCCTTCTTTCTAATGCTCTTCAGTGTCAGATACCCACCAGTTTTGCCTTATTTCATATCTATTCTTCCCAAATATCAAGTCATTTGTGCTGATGTGACTGTCTCTTGAGTGTTTTGCCTGATCTTCTATGACACCCCATAAAGCCCCACAAACCTTCGACCTTCTTTTCCACCATAAATAACAGGAACAATAAAAATGACAATTAAAACCTCACCTGTCCCTCACATCTGTACCAACTTCACATACAAGCATCTGAGACAGCCATTCCTATAACTTTTCTTCCCAGTTCACTGATGAGGATTTTGCACAGTTTTGTATTGGTACAAGTAGCAGATGAGATTCAATTACTTCTGGACTCATGATGTGATCAGTTAATAGCTACTGGCATAAAAATTAAAATAAAGCATAGACTGTGCCATCAAAAAAAAATTCTCTGTGTTTCTTTCATTTAATTGAATTTTCTTTCATCCCTTCATTCGGTCTCGTGATTGATTTGTGTAATTTTTATAAATCTAAGGCATGAACCATAGACTAGATCTTTAGCTGATGTAGCTGTTCAAAACGTCCCTGGAATCTGTTATTGATAGAAGCCAAGAGTCTTCAGTGGGTAAATAGGCAATTTTTCTTAAGACAGTCAAGTTTATAGAAAGAATTCAAAATAGTACAGAAAATATAAGGCATAAGATAATAAGCATGTTTTGATACCGAAGTTGTTCTAGTTTTCATGAAGACATATGAAACTCCTTAAAAAAACCTTCTTTACAATATTGTACAGTCAGTTTAGCTTCTTAGGTGTTTTTTCTCTTTCTGTGACTAAATGATATGCAAAATAATTCTGCTGCAATGTTAGGAAAATAAACTTACTAATACTGGTATTGATTTTCTGCTCAATAAAGCAGTGCTTTTCAAATTTTTCTTTTACCCATGACTTGTCTCTCATTGACTGGATAAGGAGGCAAGTTCTATCTATGTCTGGTTTTAGGAGAAAGCAGAAAGCAAAAAGATCCCCAGCCTTTAGCTAGTGCTCTGATAGATAATGCACATTTTGTATACATTTACAATGTATTATAACCTGTTTATCCCAATTAAATAATGAAAAGACCATAATCATAGCCTTCATTAGTTTTCTGGTTTAGACCTTAGATGGAGATGTTCACCTTACCCCAACTGGGGAAGGGTGGGGTCGGTCCATGTGGTAGGCATGGGGCAAGATTTCCTGAAATTCCTTACAGCTCTCAATAAGTGCTAGCAAGCTCCAAACTTTCTGAACATCAAAGGTATATTTCCTAATGTAGCCACTCCAGTTCTAAATCAAACACTAGATGTGTTTTTTCCTCCAAGATCTCCTCATCCTAACAGCTCCAACCTCTCCAGACATGGACTCACCTCCTTAGCAGCACTAAGATCTGATTTCCTTTACACATGAGAGCAGCACAAAAGCAAACCAAAGACTTACTCTTGCCTAAATAGTAAAATCGTGCTACCTAACTGTCCAGCAACTGGAATCTCTGTTTTACTAATCATGAATTCCTTTATAACCAATATACTAATTCATCCCTTTACCCATTGAATAATGGACGAAATAGGATGTTTATATATTTTACAAGAAGGAAGAGTATATATTTGCATGCACATTGTGTGTGTGTGTGTATACACTCATACATGCTTTGTAGAGCTTTGCCTCATTTTGGATTATTCTAGTTGACCCACAATCATTTGAGCTTGCTGTTGAAAATTTGAGTGTCTGCAAGTCCTGCCTGAATCAGCTGAACTTGTGGCCCTTTGCTTTTATCAGTCTGTTGGCACCGATACCAACGTTACTCAGCATTGTTCAGTGTTATGAGGTGCAGCACGTTACATTACCCTTGCAGAAGCTCACAGCTTCCTTCCAGGTTGGCTTACAGAGTTTTATGATCAGTAGGGCCCCTGTGTGTACTGAAAACAGCACTGTCACCAACAAGGTAAGTGGAGCCAACACAATCCAATTACCATGATCATCACAGGGATAGCAGGTCCCCAGGCATAAATCTGGTAATTCTTATCTGTCCTACAACCCCCATAAGCCATGCATTTGGGCACTTTTATCTCCATCTTTCTAGTTAGGAAGCTCAAGAACCCACAGAGAGACCCTAAGTCATATTACACAGAATAAGAAACTGTATAGAAAAGACTTTTTGGAGAGAAAATGGAGAGTAGAACAGGTCTTCTGTACATTTATATTGATTTCAAGGTGACTCTACCCATCATAGGCATAATAAGCATATAATGATGAATATATTCCATTCAGACTGGAAATAAAATCCTATATATCTCAGGTAGGATACACCATCTTGCTGTCTCTGCTTCATGGCTGCTTACTCTGCCAAGCCCAGATTTCAGGCTTTTGGGGAAACAAGATTGGAAGCAGGTGGGCATAGTTAGCTTTTACTGAAAAGCATCTTGTCAAAACTGTGCTTGGTTTGTAGCCATCTAGTGACATACTTTGAAATACTCTCTGGTTCACCTGTTCTTCTTGGCTATTTCTCCCTACAAAATATAATATATAAAAGCGTTATTCTCAAAGGGAAATCTAATTAGTAAATTACCCTTTCTTCCTGTGGCTTAGCCTGCAGTTATCAGTCCAATAAGGCTCTGTGTTGAATAGGATTGAAGTGCTGAATACCCAATGCAGTAAAAATATTTTATTCTCCTCTAGAGATTCATACTTCACATTCTTGTCTGTAGAGCCCTGGAGTCAGATAAGGTTTCTAAGGGGCTGAAATCACGGAGTATAGAACATTGGACTGATGTTCCTTTTTTGGCTAAATTTTTCTGTATTTTTTAAAGATTATTTTTCTTGAATGCTTTTTTTGGGGGGGGGCAAGATTTTAAGACACTAATTTACACTACTGTTGTGGACACATCGCAGAGAAAAGTCTTACATAACATACATCAGTGGGTCATTTTATTTCAGTAAGATTTAGCTTAATATTTAAAATAAGGATGCTGATTTTTGGAAATTGGTTAAAATATGTATATAACTACAGTGTTAATAGAGTGTGCCACATACTTTTGAAATGCAGACTTTCAGTTTTTCAAAACCAACTGGAAAGCCTTTTATTTTATTCTAATTCACTGGAAACCTGGCATTTCCAAAATGGTTATGTCACATTCAGAAATCTGATTCTCTGTGAAGAAATCAGATGGGTTCTTTAAGTGGTGAATGCCAAGAAACCATACGCTGCGTGATGTTTGGTGCGGTAGGGACCATCTCAAGAGGCAAAGAATCTGCATGTGGCCATCACCTCTTTCATCTACATCCCAGATATAAAGTGCTTCTGCGACCAGTCTGGTTCAAGCCCACTAACTGCACACAGCAGTCCGCCCCAGGTTTGTGAGATGTGTTGCCTTTGCTATTGCGCTGGGAAGCCCAGTGAGAAAGGAGAATCCTTTCCTTCATACCCTCCTCTGAGTGGGAAAATGCTGCGGAGGTACCTGATGTATGTGCCATGTGAAGGCCATTCTCCCTTTGTGTGTACCACAGGAAATAGTCCAGGCCCTCGACTAGATACTATTCAGAGCTATTGCACTTTTGGGTACAAGTCTTAGGCTAAACAAAGAACAACAAAAGTTGCGTGGATTTCAGTGGCATGGGGCTAATTTCCACAACAAAGTGGTATTTTAAAAATATTACACTCATGGGTAAAATGCAGCAACTGATTATGAATTACTGGTTATAAATTACAGTTTACCCATTTGTCGATGAATTATGGTATAGCCCTATAAAGAGGCAAAATGTCACCAAGAAATACATCACTGTACTCCTTTTTTTTCAGTGATTTAAGCATTAGTTCAAATAATTTCTATGTGAAAACTGAAGACTCTTACTTGCAATTTGGAAAGCATCAGAAAGGGTTGTGTCTGTTTTCTGCTACATGTTAATTCACAAGGACAATTTTTGTTTCTGGTAGTTATGTTCTACTGTTTAGAGTAATAACACAGAATGAAATAAAGTTTTCTTCCAAAGCAAATTAAGAGTGATTTACAGCTGTGGATCACCTCTCCACTGCCAAACTGAACTCGGGGTGAAAAAATAGCAGGAAGAACTGTTAGTTTAGGATAAACAGATTTTGTTTCCAGCTGAAATTACAGAGGGTGTTTTAGCCAGTAATCTTGCGGGCACTGCTGACTGGGGGTGAATTTGCGCACCCCTGTGAAGGACAGCTTGCCATCTACTGAGGCACCAATAGGCCCTATGGCAGCACCCGCTGCTCTGCCCACTAGAATGAAAGTTCAAGTGCATATGCTGGTCAGTGTGCAGGCATCCATCCACCACAGCCTTATTTAAAGGCAAAGTGAGAAAAAAAAAAAAAAAAAAAACCAACAAAAAAAAACACTACAAAAAGACAGAAAAAAGAAAAAAAACAACAAAAAACCACAACAAACACCTAAAAGAAAGAAAATCAGGCTCAACTTTTCATCAAAGTCGAGTATCGGATATGAATCACTGCTTCTTAACTTTTGCTTCATCGTGTCTGATGTTAAACAAATCCACCAGCGTAGAAAGTACACTGACTCCCTGTCTAATCTGACCACACGTAACAATACGCCTGGGTGAAAAAGACCACATGAGCTTATAAAATTTATACCATTTTGAAGAGATTGTGAGTGAGATTTTAAGTGAAGCTCTACAAATAGCATGGCATGGTGTCATGGGGTATTTTACTCTTTTGACAGATGTTTGGTTTCTGTGAAAAGTTAAACAAGCTTATAAAGATATTTCATGCTTTTTTCCCCCATAGGTGCATGTAAAACATTACCACAATTAATATTTGCATATTTTCTTTAAATGAGGTCCACTGGGAAGTAAAAGAAAAGAAACTGTACAACTGTCAAAGCTTTTCACAAAATATTTTAATAAGGATGTAACAGCTTCCACATTAGCAATTTTTAAACTAAAAGGAGCTGACTCACAGTTCATTGAAGTGAATTAGGATTTTTTCTCTCATTTCGATGGACTTTGAATCAGACAACTTTGAAATACTAAATTTATACATTCATTTAACAGTACGTAATTTTTGGTGAAAGAAATGTACAAAGTAGTATCCTGCTTTTTGCTGCTGAGAACAGCTAAAAGGTATAATTTAACAAAAACTTGTAGTAAGTCCACCACTGCAAATGCTAAATGCCTGAATTGTCAACCTTACGCTTAACACCGTAACACCGTACTTAAGCACCGTAGCTATGAGTACAATGCTACGGCTATGCTGCTGCTAGAAATTTTTCCCAATCTCTTGCTTCAGATTGCCGGTACTTATAATTAATACAACCACAGTATTGTGCTAAAGAAGTGATTTGTCACAGCCACAGGGGCACCTGCCACTGTGTGACACTGTTAACATAGGCAGTAAAAAGCAAAAAACATAACTGCTTATTTCAGCATGGTCCGTACCGATCCTCACGTCTGGCATAAGAGGAGCAGGGATAGAAGATTATGTTTAATCAGCTGTCGTTTATCAAACAAGAAAGCTTCGTTCATCTATATGATAATTGATCTGTCATAAGATGGGAAGAGAGAAAACTCAAAAGAGAGAATTTTTGTGGGGGAGACATCGTAGATGAAAGAGTTAGAAAAAGTGACAATCTTTTTATCTGAAAAGGAGCCTTCTTAAGCATCACCCATTTAAAATGCAACCTTGCAAGTAGCCACCACAGACATAAGTACACAGTATAAATTGCTTCAGAGAAACACGTTCACAACACAGTGACACAAATCAAATAAAAAAATCAAATAAAAAGACATCTGGCACACAATAAAACCAAGAATTCTCAGAAATGAAACATTAAGAAGCTCTGGGCCAGTATATTACATTGGCAACATATGAAACCCATTTTAGTTTTTTTTTTTTTTAGTGCAACAGAAGAAACTGGAGCTAGGGTAATAGCTATTATCAAACAGCTACTTTTTTTTTTTTTTTTTTTTTTTTGTGTGTGTGTGTGTGTGTTTGTCAAGTATTTATTTCAGAGCCTGGTGGAGATTTTTAAACTAATCCCTCTTTTGCCATGTAGGCTAAAGTGACTTTGCAGCCACCCAGGTCATATATAACTGTCTCAGCTCCCTTCATCGCTGTTTCACGGCTGATAGAGCAGGCGCAAGACAATACCTTCACAGTCTAGCGCTCTCTTTAAACTTGATTATTAGCACACTTTATTGTATGTATGGACACATTGAAACATTTCCCAGCTCAGTGCTCCCCCCAGCTCCTGGCTCAGTGCTCTGCTCCCTGTGAGTCACGGGACTGTTTATCTCCTGTTATCAGCAACCTGCTGCGCAGCTCTGAAGCACAGCAATAATCTGCCCTGCTCGCCCGAGCATAGCACAGAGCACCAGAGCAGCAGTGAGGCGGAAGCTATCTGCAAAGCAAAGAACAGCTCCACGACTCTGCTGCTTCTTTTCTTGGGGCCTTTTTGCTACCTGTTTTCTTTTTTAGTCCTGGTGGGGGAGGTGTAGAGGGATGTTACTTGCTCCTTCCTGGGGGAGGGCAAGGTGTGTGTTAGGGGGGACTTTTCCCATCATATCTACTCTCTGAAGGGGAGGTGCATGCTGACAGATGCTGCGTAGGGTCTCTTTCAGTCGGGGGGAGTCTGAGCCTGAATGCTAGGGCTTGACTGAAGGAGGCTTGTCTCAGTGGCCTGGGGGTCCCACCAACCAAGCAGGGGGGCAATCTGTATAAAAGGTGAGGGGAGAGTCGCTGCGGGACCCATACAGCCACTCACTGGACACAGAGAGAGGTGACAGAGCCCAGCTCCCAGACCCTAAATCGAGCGTGGCAATTTGCTAACTGGGTGTCAAAGCATCAGCGACTGCGCCCACTCTCAAGGGAGGCAGACAGGGGGGAGGGAGGGAGTGGCAGACCAAGGATGCAAGGTTTTCTTCACTCCTTGTGCCAAACACTGCTGTTGGTGGGCAGGACTGAAACCCCCTCCCTCCCGGCCTCCCCATGCCACAGCCCTGGCCTTGCTCACCCTCCTGCTGGGGGGCAGTAGGGGAGCGGGGAGCAGGAATGCTTCCTCAGAGTGTGGTAATCCTGGAGGTGCAAGTGCCGTTCCTGTACATGCTCCCTGACTCCAAGTTGTCTGGGGGAAAGTCCTCCACGCTGTATGCCCTGCTCTTGAGGGCAGTGGCATAGTAGTCGATGGGTTCCTCTGCAGCATTGTCCATCCAACTGAGGCAGAGCAGCCTCTGGAAGGACCGCTTGAAGTTGTCCGAGAGAAAGCCATAGAGGATGGGGTTGGCACAGCTGTTGGCATAGCCCAAGATGACAGAGAGCTGGCTGATGGTGGCGTCATCCTGCTCTACAAAGACATTGACCAGCTGCACGATGTAGAAGGGCATCCAGCAGATGACAAAGACCATCACCACCATCATGACCATGAGGGTGATCTTGCGCTCTGAGCGTTTGCGTTGCTGCCAGCCAGCCTTCAGGGCCACCATGCGCATCTTGGCAATGATGAGGATGTAGCAGAGGCAGATGGCCACCACAGGCAGCAAGAAGCCCATCAGAAAGGTGTAGACCACAAAGACTACCAGCCACCTCTGCGTGGGCTCTGGCATGAGCATGTTGCAAGCCACCGTTCCATCACTGTTGGCCGCTGTGTTGGAGAAGATGATGATGGGCAGGATGATGAGGATGGAAAGCACCCAGACACCCAGATTGACCATTTTAGCCACAGTGGGCCGGCGGTACCTAGCCGCCTTGATGGGGTGCACCACGGCAATGTAGCGGTCCACACTGAGCACGGTCAGGCAGTAGATGCTGGTGAACATGTTGATGGCATCCACGCTGAGCACCAGGCGGCAGAGCAGCGAGCCAAAGGGCCAGTGATGCAGCAGGGTGGAGGTGACCAGAAAGGGGACGCTGAGCATCAGCAGCTCGTCCGCGATGGCCAAGTTGAGGATGTAGATGTTGGTGGCCGTCTTCATCTTGGCGTAGCGGAGGATCACGTAGATGACCATGGAGTTGCCACACAGCCCCACCAGGCATACCACGGAGTAGATGAACGAGATGAGGATGGCGCTGCCCTGAGACTCGCTCAGGGTGCTGTTCGGGACGCCAGAGGAGTTCCTGCCGCCCGAGTCCATGCCCCCCGCCGTCGCCTCCTCCGAGGCGCTGCCGGCTCCGCCGCTGTCGCCGCCGCTGTCGCCGCCGCCTCTGTCGCCGCCTGCACCGCCCGGGAGCCTGGTGCAGGTGCCATCGGGGAGCAATCCCCTGCCCGGAGCTCCCCGCCCCCGGCTCAGAGCAGCAGCCGCCCGCCGCGGGCCGGGCTCGGCATCCCGGCGGGTCCCCGGCGCGGCGGCTGCGGGGCGGGAGGCGGCTGCCGGCGCCGCTCGCTCCGAGCGGCAGCACTTGCTGCTCCCCGGCTGGTGAATGATTAGTAGGCAGCGGCGCGTCACCAGCTACGAAAAGGAGGAGGGAAGGAGAAGAGGAAAAAAAAAAAAAATTAAAAAAAAAAAAATGCGGGAGGAGACGTAAGTGGGTGTCCCTCCCAGCCCACTCGCCCCGCCGCCCGCCCGCCTCCCATCCCGCCCTCCGGCTGTTCGCAGCCCTGGCAGCTCCGGGGCTGCCGGAGTGCAGCCTCCTCCCTGTCCCCGTTGCCCCCCCCCGCCCTCCCTGAGTCCTTCCCGACCCCACACTGCTCTCCCCATCCAGTATTGTTTCCGCTTCGCTGCACTGCCCTCCCACGCCGCGCTGGTCGTGCCCCCACCCCGAGCCAGCACCCTCTTCTCCCCCCTCCATTCTGCACTGCTCCCCCTCCATGGCACCTGGGTCCGGGCCAGGGGCACCCCAAGCAAAGAAACCATTCTTTCTTCTTTAAGAAAGAAGCCCGGGTCATGCGGGGGGTGGGGGGTGGGGAGGTGGGAGTGGGGGGTGGGGGGTGGGCGATGTTGCCTGGGCAGGCATGCCTCATGCCCACACAGCTGCTGTATCCCTCCCCTGTCACCGCACCGTGTGTGCACTGCCCACCCCTTGGCGCCGGCACCAGGCATGGCACTAGGACAGACACATAACCCTCAGCCCTAAGTAAGCAGCACTGCCTGAAAACAGCAATGGCCATGCCTCCCCGCACCACGCAGCTCCGTGCCCCCCCACCTTGTCCTCTCCCACCACCCCCACCAGACAGAGCACTAGCAGCATCCAATACTTTACAGTTCTGCCCCTCCCCACACACTCAGTCCTGAAACATGCCCTGCCTTGTCCCATTCTGACACCCCAGCATATGGTCTGCCTCTGTCCATCACACATCCAGCAGCGCAGGCACCTGTTTGTACACTACAGCTCTCCATTACTATTTACACCACGATGGTGCCAAGACCATCCTAGCTATGCTGGTATGCAAACACACAGTATGCCCACTCTTTTGTCCCCTCACATACTGCTTCCACTCACAGGATCTCTGCAAGTTCAACCATCACATGCTGCATCACCAGCACTTACAACCCCTTTTCTTAATATTGTACTTAAACATATGCATATCCCTGATGGGGTTGTATCCACAGAGTGAGGCTATAAGCCCTCCTCAGCACTATACGGTGACACAAACCACTGACACCATCTCCATTCATACAGTACTTCTACATATAAGTAGCCATCACTACATAAATGACTTATCCCATGCTACACCCATACATCCACAGACTGCTTCTCTGCACTGACCCGTACTGTGCTGTTTCGTACACACACCCTGAGCCTAGACAAAGAGTCACGTACACAGATAGCTACTCATGCTATCATCACTAGACAGACACTGCTGCCTCACTTGCAGTTCCAAACACAGGTGAACATCAGCAGATAGTCCTAATACTGCATCTCTATACCCTGGCAAGCATACTTCTTTGTGTGTTGGGGTTGTTTTTTTTTTTTTAAATGTATGGTCTTCACATATGCCTCTCCTTATGGGCAAATGTCTCTTATTTCCCTATATGTTATTGCTTAATGTATGCAGCCTGTCCTTACATACTTATACATAACCACTTAATCAGTTTTGATATACCACCACCACCTGCCCAATCTGTATTAACCAGACATTGTTACTCACTAATGCACACACCCTGATGCTTGATCACTGCATCAACACTCCCTCAGCACAGACATACACACATAATACTCACTAATTGTTTATTCTGTTGGCTGTAGCCACTCGTCTGTGTGAGCATACCACATCTGCATGGACACCAACCTGCCTCTTCACATAAGCTGTCGCCTGTGAACAACACCTACTTCTGTCAAGAACAGCAGGTCCACATCATCTAAATATCACCACAGTGCACATGCTGCTATATGCTCCCCATAGCACCACTACACTCAGCATCACACATGCATCCTTACAACCTACTCGTTTTACCATCCATACCCATCACCTCCTACAGTTCACACATCTTGCTATCACTGTCTGCCCACCATCACAATTATACATATTATCACTACCCACCACTTTAATATGCAGATACACGCAGCATTACCATCAATTCATTAGCACTCATCATCAGGAATTTATTCTCTCTAGCACCATATGTATCCCTATACTCCTTGTCACCACCAGCAGCTATTCCAACACATATATGTAACCTCTCTGACTGTATGATTTTCCTCATGTCAGTCATTACCTCCAACCAACAGACACCTAGACACTCCAATGTGACCAGTGTGTGCTCTCCGACACCTTGTCAAAGGTATGACATTTAGCACATGCACACTTTCCCATGACCCTTAAGCAAGCTGTTTCCTTTTCTTCTGTGATTAAAGAGTAGACTGTGAATACATATATATGAATACATACACCCCTACCCATACATTTGAAGATATATAAAAATAACCCTATTCAGTTTTTAGCAATTGCTCACAAGTTCTATTTGGATGATACTCTTTGCGACTTTTGAGGACCTTTTGTGTTTATGTTCTAGTATAGAAATGCATTTATTGAGCAGCTTTTGCAAATGATCTTACCATTCTCAGGACTGTTGCTGTATATGAGTGTTTTAGTTAGATTTTAGAGTACTTGGGGATGCCATATGATTTTTTTCTCAGAAAATTCATCCTTATGTTTGGGGTTTTAGAGCTTGTATATTATGATGTGTTAGCATTGGAGCTTCCAGTATACAGTGAAAAAAAAAAAATTATATTTAACTACAACATACAAAATCTTTACTTGCAATGTGCTATCTGACACTGCTCAAATCTCTACAATTATGAAAATTCAGCTGGAGAATTATTTTCTTTAAAAATTATATTCTGGGAGAATATGAATCAGCTTTCAGCCACTGATATGAGAAGGAGCATAAGTCAATAGCTGAAAACCCATCAACGAGAACATCTGGTTGATTGCAGCACTTTAGTCTGTTTGAAAACCTATAGTTCAAACATAATCCAATTTTTGTTTATGTTAGCATTTGTTTTAAGGGGCATTTAGTTATGGAGCACTGATTGAGGGGTTTCCTTCTTTCTTATTGTTATAAATTGGCATTTAACAATAGTATGACTAGAAATTTGAATGGTTTTAGATTGCTCTTTACAAACATGGGAGCAAAAAGGATTGGATTTGAAACTATTAATAGTAGTGTCATCACCACAAAATTTCAGTTCTTGTCTTCATTGCCCCTCATTGCATTTGCATACATATAAACACACAGTCACTCATGGAGGTGTTTTAGACATTTTATTCATGCTCTGGTCATTTTAATCAAGTATTTTGCAGTGCTAATGTTTGGCCATGCCCTGCACCCAAAAGACTCAGTAGAAGCTATTCTGTTGAAATAGATGTGGATATAGTGTTCTTTCTAATACAGTGATTTGAAATAAATCACCTGTAAATTGTAACTCCTGCAAAAGTACTAACCTCATTAGGCATGACACACATACCTGTTTGTTGTGTATGTCCAGAAGAACCCAAAATACCATCATAGGCATAATTCTAATGAGGTTCCATGTACTATATGTTTTACTTAGAAGGCTTGAAGATTTTTGTATCTCCATTCATTGACGTTTCCTTCAGGTATGGAAAATTGCATTCCTACTAGAGAATTATATCATTTTCCAAAAAGGAATTGTATGACTGTCTGCCTAGTAACTTAGGCAGATTGCTCTAACACAGTTTATATGTATTAATTTACTGAGAAATTCTAGCTACTGATCTTTACCAACGCTCAATCGCCTGTTGCTCATTATTCAAAAGCATATATTTTTAACCTCAACTTCTTGATAAAGTAGCAATGCTTGATTAGAAATAATACATTTTATTATCCCAATAATGATATAATACCATTATAATTACCAACACTGGCTCATTTCAACCTCATGAAACAAAAGGCATAGTTCCGACAACCAAAATATCCTTTAAAGCAGAAATTCTGATATAAACCAAGTATAATTTGGGAACATGCTTAGACATTTTATTTTTGTTATGCTTCATTCTTTTACTTTTAGATTTTGCCTGTCAGAGGTCTTAGCTTGTGTTTATAATCCACCTGTCACAAAACAGGGAAGGGCATCTTCACCTTCTCAACATATTCTGCAGGTTGGCCTAAGACACTGTCCTGGTTGGGGCTGGCCTAGAGTTCCCGTTGGTCTGGCAGCGGGAGGAGCTGCAGCCCCCTGAGACCCCAGGGGCTCCCCAGGTCCCAGTGCCCTCACCTGTGTGCGGGGGTGGGGGAGCACAGCTGGAGGGCTGGGCCCGGATTGGCCAATAGTCCATGTCATGTGACACTGTGCTCACCATATAAAGGCAGGAGTGAGCTGGGAGGGGCTCTCACTTCTGGGAGTGTGGCTGTGGGGCCTTTTGTGTTGGGAATCGCCAGCTGGGAGCAGGTGGGTGTCGGTCGGCGGGAGGTGAGCAGCTGTATGGTATGTTACCCGCTGATACTGCTGTCAGTGTATTGTTCTGTTACTGTTATTAAACTGTTTTTATCTCAACCCACGAGTCTCCCTTTGCCCCTCCGATTCCCTCCCCATTCCCAAGTGAGGGGAGGGTCGGTGAGAGACTGCGTGGCATTTAGCTGCTGACCAGGCTCAAACCACGACAGACACACATAGACACTTTCAAATACCCCATTTCTGTAGCAACACCTTCCTCCCCTGGAGGGGTGGAAATGTAATTATCTTCTCAAAATTTTTACTTCTGTGCCATGCTGGAAAGTCTAGGGCTAAGGCTCAGCCTATGCCTAGGGTTAGAGTTAGGGTTAGGAGAGACCCAAAGCCTATAGTTCCAGGCGCAGTGGGGATGCATGGGGGAGGCTGTGCAGAGGCCTTATGCCTGAATACTTGTTTGCTCCTCTGGGACAATGTTAGGCATCTCGGGATACAGTTTGTTTAAGGTCAGGAGAGAGACAAAGCCAACAGATCCAGCTGAAAGGGGTTGAAAGAGGGTTTGAAAGCTGCATAAATTAGGGGAAGG